CGTAAAAGGTATTTCAAAATATTTTACAGGTATTGTTTGTTAATAAATTCTGACTACCATTCAAATGTATATTTAAAATATTTAATGTTATTTCTCACATTGATATTTTAAACATAAAAAGCATAAAAAACAATTCAAGCACCTTACAATATTCAGTACCATTAACTTCACAACAAATCCATTCAAGTGGTTTTAATCACTCCTACTTACATTCATTTTTTCCGCTTGCAATTCGAGGAGAGTTGCAACTATATATATTCAAAAAGGTTTAGAATTTTTCCCTTTGTCTGTCAAAAGCAATTGATAACTTCAGTTCCTAATTCCTAATATATTTGAGTTCCTGATTAGCAGCAAAGTTACCAATAATTAAAATTTGTTCACGTCATAGATATATGTACTTCGGCGTCCAAACATATAGTATAATACTTATTGTCTTTTATACTTATTATATATCATGGAGTACATCTCGTTGTAGAACATTTTATTATTCTGATTATTTTTACTATTTTATTATAATTACCGAAGGCTTACAAGTCTAGAAGTCATTAACAATCATACAATTTAACATTAAGCTATTATGGTAGATCCTAAAATTAGTTTAAATTTAATAGATGGTTTCATAATGACAAGTTATACATATTTATCTGAAAACCTTAACTTTGTTAAAATAATACATATTTGTAACTAACACCGTGCGCATGACTCATCCATTCATCCTTGTAGACGTGATCAGAATAAAATGTGCACTTTTATTGCGGTGTATAAGATTATTTGTGTTTTCATCTTTCTCAAGATTTTAAATTTATTATTATATATAGTATTGATATTTTAATTATGTTCTAACTCGGACTCTTTTTTAACTTCTATTATTTATGTTTAAGTTATTAGAATGGAATGGAAAACCTTGTATCCTAATAAAAATGTTCACTTGTGTAACCAGAGTATTATATATTTCACAAGAGTTTGAAAATCATAAAAACGTTTCATGCAAGTAAAACAAATTGTACTAGTAGTAATATAAAAGATTTTGTGCGTTTCATTTATGGAGGATGGGTTTGATTTTTATCGAAAAGTGAGCCGATTTCGTGACGAAAAGATTTCCAGTAGATGCTACACTTGGTCATAAAAATTTTTAAATCGGAAAATGAGTGCTAGTCGGGCCTAAAAATGAGTTAGCTATTTAAAAATGGTTACCCGGCCAATTTTCTTTAATGGCAGGACGACTTCATCGTGCTGGATGTTGACCTGATATCATGATATGATGCTATCTCTTATAGTTTTCGTACGTTTTACACTCATACTAAGCCACTGTTAATATCCTGAGCGTGACATCAGCTTTGGTTCTCAATAAAATTCTATATTACCATAAACGATGTATCCATTGGTGGTATAACTTGTCATTGATTTATAACTGAATTTAGTCTGAAAAACACAATCATTAGACTTGACTTTCAAAAATGAAACCAGACGTTTAGAGTTCTTAGACATTTCTGTTCTCTAGCCAAAGCGAAAGAAATAAATTTCTATCAGTCCTCAGTGAGTAATGGTATTTGAGATATTTATTTGAGGTATTTATGACGTTTGATAAGGCAGGTCTTTAAGTGAACAGGTTGCTTTAATAAATAAACATCTTGTAAACTTATACCACTAGCATGCTCCTATGCGTATGAAACACTCATCTACTTATCTTTTCGCTCCAGATTTTAACTGATTGACTTGAAAAGATTTTGTAAAGCTCTGACATTACTTTAAATATTGTATATAAATTAAAACTCATAATGTATTGAATAATAACTAAAAGATTAAAGAATTATGGAACAAATATAACCTTAACTAACTCTATAAGCCCCCTGGGTATATATCCTGTGTCAATAAATGTTTCGGTCGCTTTGAATATTTGTTATATCGCGTCTGTGTAAATTAATAAAGCTATAAGCCTCGACATTCAGTGACCAATTGAGTCCGTGTAATAATTTATTGATATTTAATTAAATTAGTTTGTTCGGAGTTATGATTGAGGACTTGTAAAATTTGTATTATTTTAAAGTAAAAATTTTAAAATTATTTTCATTTGTTTTGTAGAGATAATTTAAGTCTAAAATACTTTAAAATTCCAGTAGAGAGTGAATTTGTAAAAGTAAGATGACTTATGATCTAGTCATGGTGTTTATGATACTAATGACTAGAAAGGCAATGAAGACAACCTATATGACCGTCAAATTACAGCGATGTCTGTGTTACGAACCCCCATAATTATTAACATATCCAAAAATCGGGAAAAAGCATATTTAATAATTCGTTACATATATTTATTTAAAACATGTACAAAAATAAATTTCAGTTATCTACTCTACTACTGAAAGCTCCCGATTACCGGTAATTATTAAGAAAAATACGTCATATTTTATATAATGTAGAAAATTAGAAAACTTATTATTAGCGATTGTAAAATAAATATGAAAAAATAATAATTAATTACAATAATTTTGAAGTTTTTGTAAACTTTGACTTTAATATTATAGAATAAATAAATGTTACAAACACAAATATAAGCAAAGAAGTGCATCTTTTTGACCATTAAAACAAAGTTAAAACATTTCGTTGCTATTAATAATTCTACTGATTTTGTTATGTTTTCCCGCTTTTGTAGCAAGAATAATTCTTACATGTATACATACATTTATGTATAATCAAACTTTATCACCGAGTTCAATTACTCTAGATTAGTATAGTTTTAACAATACCTTCCTAAGTTACGTTTTATGAACACTTGCTAAAAAGGGCCAAAATAGAGATATAAAACGTGGCCAAACGTAAACTGTACCCACAAATACCTGACCGCAATACAGACCACTCTACCCAAAAAAATATATATGAATTCGTGAATTACAATGACTCGCATTATTAACAGAGCTTCAGTATAAAACAATATGATTTTAGCCTATTCGGTATGACCCGATAACGCATCGTAAGCCAATCACACATCGGAAGAGGTATGGAAACTCGTTATCGTTCAATTAATAGCCCTACCCTCATACAAGTTGTACAACTAGTAGTAGTTACTAGAAAATCAATCAATGAATTGTGACCTACTGTCAAGAGTTTGTAACGTTTCGTTCATTATATTTTCCAATGATTAGAATTATTTCTCGGTTACATGATACAGAGAATTAAAATTTATATCATTAATCATAGCATATATTTATATGTGGTTGTTTTTACTAACTTTGGTAAGGAAAATTAAGTAATTTATCCCTCACACGTGTCACTAGCCCCCACTCTGTTGCTTCCTTATCACAGATCAGTGATCATATATATTAAAATGTTGTACTTTTGTATTTAATTTTTTGTGCTTTTAAGTAATTAAAGGAAAAGTTTTATACTGGTTACCTGACAAACTGATTATAACTGGTTGGTTGATATAATGAAAATAATATTGAGTAGTAAAATTTAACGTTTGCCTTTATAATCGTATTAGTTGCTGGTCGGTGTTTGGCAGGAAAGAGTTCAGAATTAAACATGAGTTCGTGTAAGAAATAGTTAAATCTCAATTATTATGTTGTTATTATTCTTTAGGGAATAAATATTTGATAATCCCGTGATTGAGTTTTAAAATTATTATTTACGAAATTAAAAATAATGTTTTCCCTTTTTTTATTTCGACTTGACTTATATTACATCCGTGGGAAGGTGAAAATGAATTCCTAGCTCTGTAGCACCCCCAGCAACAGCATATTCAGCTATTTCTTGAAGACGCCCAAAATATAATTCGAAGAAAAGAAAACGCAATGAAACTATTTCAAGTCAAATTGTTTTATTTATTTTTTTGTTATTAATTTATACGTAAGGGTGATATAATATAAATTCTTTGAAACAATGTAACATTTGCAAATCATGAAACTGAGGACAGTAACCTCATTATCACGTACCACAAATTATTGCCACATTTAGCTCAACCATTCAAATGATGTTTTCAAATTGATACCTCCTGTAATTTATACTAACCACAAAGAAAATCAATATCATAAAAAATTATACATAAAAGGTAGAAACTTTATATATATAAAACTTATATATATATATATATATATATATATATATATACATATATATTATTACAGTAATTTGGCTTGCAGTACTGAAAAAATTGTTGAATAAACGTGGTATACTTTAAAAAATGGAAAAAATGGGTTTGATCTTATTTTTTATTATTTCCATATTGCTTTCACTACTTTTCACAATTTATTTTCAGTAAAACTTTTGTGCAACATACATATACTACCATACTTAGGTCTCCCAGGCTTAATTTTTTTTACTGATAGTTTCGTAACCATCCTTTCAAAGAGCATTGTCTTTGGTCTGAAATAAGAGTCGAGTTTTGTGTTTCGCTGGCACGGGATCATTAAGTTCTCCCGATACAAACCGCAGGTGCAGGATCTCCCTGCATCCTATTCCAATGAAACATACTTAACACCTCAAAACAAACTAAGACTTATGTATAAAAGAATATCTTTGTACACATCAACATGTAGGGGGAGGTAAAATTGGGAAAAAGGTAAAATTGGGAAAAAGGAAAGTGCAGGATACAAGCGTAAAAAATATTAGTACGCAGCACAATGAAACATAAGGGAAATAAGCTTAAATACTGGTAATTCCCATCAGTATAGAAAGTGTGATTGACGGTTCGTCTTATATAAAAATCTCAGGATTACCATAAGTTAAAATTACCATGCAAAGATAATTCCACTATAATATGTTAGAAGTAATATGTAAGAATAAATAATCAAAATATATTTGTTTAACTAGCTGTCTTTATAGATTTAATACATTAAACATTTAAAAATATATTCCCAGGCACTGTTGAAGCTCCTCCCCCTGCAACGCGATGGACCCGGCACCCGCACGGTGAATCCATGGAATGCTGAGAAGTTTCGTCTATCAAGGTCAACAAATATTACGAGCTCACAAACGAACTCACTCGAAATAGGTTCGTAGTAGATTTGTACGCGGTAGAGGTGGGAGCGAGAGGTATAACAGCGAAATCTCTCTATAACCTACTAAAGGACTTGGGCTTGTCCAGAACTCACATTAATGCTTTCTTGGAACGTACATCGAAGGCAGCCCTAGTAGGTTCTTTTCAAATTTGGTTAGGTAGGGAGAGGAGCTTGGACAGTGGAGGTGAGCGTATAACGCGCGTTAGTTAAGGGGCCCCTTAAACCTACACTTGGGTCGCAAGTCCCAGGCACTGTTGAAGCTCCTCCCCCTGCAACGCGATGGACCCGGCACCCGCACGGTGAATCCATGGAATGCTGAGAAGTTTCGTCTTATTTAAAACGACTGCCCGGAGAGTCGGGCTGACGCTGGAAAGACAGCTGACTGCCGGAAAGACGGATGACTGCCGGAAAGACGGATGACTGCTGGAAAGACAGCCGAGGGCGACGGCCTAGCAAGCCCAACCCGGTATACATAAAGCTAAAAGTCCGAAGAAGAAAAATACCCCTGGGACAGTCCGAGAGGGGGGGCGGAAGAACTGTCCACCGGTCGATTTTAACGGCGAAAACGGCGCGAATACGGACTTGAAATGCTCTACGTGCGGGAAAAACTACAAGAGACGAGCCTGGTATATTAAACATCTAAAAACACATAATGGGGTTGAAGCACGACAATCGTCGGTAAGATCTACAACATTCACTTCGGATAGAGTTGACCCTCATGTATCCCATGGTCAACCATTAACTGGAAACCACCAGGAGTCCATTAACATCAGGACACGTCTTAGCATTCCTAATCTAAAACAATCGACTTGGAAAGTTCATGACGACAACTTAGCGGTCCTGTTAGAGCATCCGGGCTCGAAGCAGGAATTGAACTCGCAGGTAGAAACTTTCCAAAATACCGTTTATGACTACTTTAGCGAGCAATATCCACCACGTAATCATTATGCTCGCAAAAATAAAGACAATTCGTTCAAATTAAAAATGCGGAAGAAAAAACGGGAATTAATAAAAAATCTACGTATAGCCAAAGCTCTAGGCGACAATCACCTTAGTCATCAACTAGCTAGGGCGTTAAGGTCAATCCTTAAATTAATCCAAGGAATATCGGCGCAAACTGCAGAATATCGCGATAATTTTGACCGGGCAAAACAAGAAGTAGATTTCGATAAAAACCCTTTTGAGTATTCGAAAACCATTTTTAAGAAAGAACGCGGACAGCTTCTCTTGACCAACGATCAAATTTACGACCATTTTAAGAGCACATACGAAGTGCCTAAAAGTTTAAGACGGTATAGGGATCCAAACGATCAAAAACCTGAATTTCCTCGAATCGAATTCCACGGCATTCCACCAACGCTAGAGGAACTAAGTAGTCAGATCAAGAGGAAGTCGTCTAAATCTGCACCGGGACCCGATGGTATCCCATATATAGTCTTTAAAAAATGTCCATCGGTTCGTAAACACCTCCTAAATATATACGGTAAAATCTGGTCAGGGAAGCAAATCCCGGAGTGCTTCGGGAAAGCAATTTTTGTCCTCATTCCCAAAAAAGATCGAGTTACTGATCCGAAAGATACTAGACCGATAGCTTTAACAAATACTATATCGAAAATCTTTTTCTCGGTTCTACAAACGAGAATGACGCGATTCATGCTCAGCAACAACTATTTTAAGCCAAATCACCAGAAAGGGTTTTTACCCGGGATTTCTGGATGCTTAGAACACAACACCTTGCTGTCGGAGAGTTTAAAAGATGCTAGAAAAAGCGAGCGGCAAATCACTGTTTGTTGGATAGACTTGGAGAACGCGTTCGGGTCGATACAACACGAATTGATGCTATTCGCGCTTAGATGGTACAACTTTCCACCCCTAGTTAGAGATATGATCGCGTCGTATTACTCAAAATTAAGGTTTTCTATAATAACTAAAGAAGGCCCTTCAAAAAGTTTGAGTTATAATGTAGGACTGTTTCAAGGTTGTTGTCTATCTCCAATTGCGTTTAATATCGTAATTAACATCTTAGTAGACAAACTAATCCATAACGAGAAAAAATGGGGTTATCGGTTTAAGTTTAATAATAAATACACGGAATCCATTTTAGCCTTCGCTGACGATCTCGCAATACTGACACGTAACCCCAAACACTGTCAGGTACTATTGAATGAAGTGGATAAATTCTGTGAGTGGACGGATGGATTGAGGACAAAACCCAGTAAATGTCATTGTCTGTGTCTTGGTAGGCGGAATACAAGATACACCTCATACGATCCGGGACTATCGTTAGGCGGTCAATGCATTTCGACGGTTACGGAAAATGCACCATTCAAATTTCTCGGTCGTAAGATAGATAATATAGGCCGTACTCCATCTTTAGAAGGAATAGTAGATAGCTTTTTGAACGATCTTAACAAGGTAGATAGCAAACTGATAAGTAACGTCAAAAAAGCGTGGATCTACGAGAATTACTTAACTTCACGTTTGAATTGGCCTTTCCTCGTCTATGATTTTAATAAAACCCTTTTGTCAAAGTTAGATGCAGGCGTCATAAAGATGTTGAAGTTGTGGCTCGGGCTCGCTCTAACGGCTGATTCATCGGCGTTATTTAGGGGAAGCAATAGTTTTGGGATGAGTCTAAAAAGGCCATCGGAGCTCTATAAACACCTAAGAGTTTCCAAGAGATATATCCTGGGGAAATCCCATGATGACATAGTGACATCGCTCCCAAAAGATGAAGATGCCCCCGAGCTAGAGTCACGACTTCAATTCCATAAGCAATTTATGATAGGAGCGCAAAGTAACAGAGCGGGGTTAGGATCAAATAGGAAAGTCCAAGATGCGGATATATTGAAGTCTTTTATTCGGCAAGACGAGAATGATAAATATAAGATCCATGCAATGAATTTAGAAATGCAGAACGAGTGGTTAGACATAGGAGATTTTTGCATCCCATTAGCATTAAAATGGCGCACTTTAATTTATGATTGGTCGCCAGCATTGCTAAAATTCTATCTCAATGCGTTCCAGATGACTCTCCCAGATCAGAGTAATTTAGTAAGATGGGGTAAAAGTACCGAAAAAACTTGCTATATCTGTGGAAAGGCAGTTGGAACTGCTAAGCATCTGCTGGTGGGATGTAAGGTACTCCTTGACAGCGGTCAATACTCGCGTCGTCACGATAGGGTTCTAGAAGTCATACGTGAAGCGGTTAGTCTTTCGGTAGCCAGAGCGCAAAAGGGAATAACCACAAACGAACGATCAGTAGGTTTTGTGAGAGAAGGCACTAGGGCTACAAAATCAAACGTCAAGCCTTACTCCATCCTTAAAGCGGCGTCGGATTGGACTATAATGATGGACACGTATGAAAAACAATATAAAATCCCCGAGGATATTTGTGCGTCGGCCTCCAGACCGGATATATTTTTGTTTTCGCGAATTTTAAAGCGCGTAGTGATGATAGAGCTTACGGTCCCTTGGGAAACCAACATCCCCAAAGACCATACCATCAAGGTCAACAAATATTACGAGCTCACAAACGAACTCACTCGAAATAGGTTCGTAGTAGATTTGTACGCGGTAGAGGTGGGAGCGAGAGGTATAACAGCGAAATCTCTCTATAACCTACTAAAGGACTTGGGCTTGTCCAGAACTCACATTAATGCTTTCTTGGAACGTACATCGAAGGCAGCCCTAGTAGGTTCTTTTCAAATTTGGTTAGGTAGGGAGAGGAGCTTGGACAGTGGAGGTGAGCGTATAACGCGCGTTAGTTAAGGGGCCCCTTAAACCTACACTTGGGTCGCAAGTCCCAGGCACTGTTGAAGCTCCTCCCCCTGCAACGCGATGGACCCGGCACCCGCACGGTGAATCCATGGAATGCTGAGAAGTTTCGTCTTATTTAAAACGACTGCCCGGAGAGTCGGGCTGACGCTGGAAAGACAGCTGACTGCCGGAAAGACGGATGACTGCCGGAAAGACGGATGACTGCTGGAAAGACAGCCGAGGGCGACGGCCTAGCAAGCCCAACCCGGTATACATAAAGCTAAAAGTCCGAAGAAGAAAAATACCCCTGGGACAGTCCGAGAGGGGGGGCGGAAGAACTGTCCACCGGTCGATTTTAACGGCGAAAACGGCGCGAATACGGACTTGAAATGCTCTACGTGCGGGAAAAACTACAAGAGACGAGCCTGGTATATTAAACATCTAAAAACACATAATGGGGTTGAAGCACGACAATCGTCGGTAAGATCTACAACATTCACTTCGGATAGAGTTGACCCTCATGTATCCCATGGTGAACCATTAACTGGAAACCACCAGGAGTCCATTAACATCAGGACACGTCTTAGCATTCCTAATCTAAAACAATCGACTTGGAAAGTTCATGACGACAACTTAGCGGTCCTGTTAGAGCATCCGGGCTCGAAGCAGGAATTGAACTCGCAGGTAGAAACTTTCCAAAATACCGTTTATGACTACTTTAGCGAGCAATATCCACCACGTAATCATTATGCTCGCAAAAATAAAGACAATTCGTTCAAATTAAAAATGCGGAAGAAAAAACGGGAATTAATAAAAAATCTACGTATAGCCAAAGCTCTAGGCGACAATCACCTTAGTCATCAACTAGCTAGGGCGTTAAGGTCAATCCTTAAATTAATCCAAGGAATATCGGCGCAAACTGCAGAATATCGCGATAATTTTGACCGGGCAAAACAAGAAGTAGATTTCGATAAAAACCCTTTTGAGTATTCGAAAACCATTTTTAAGAAAGAACGCGGACAGCTTCTCTTGACCAACGATCAAATTTACGACCATTTTAAGAGCACATACGAAGTGCCTAAAAGTTTAAGACGGTATAGGGATCCAAACGATCAAAAACCTGAATTTCCTCGAATCGAATTCCACGGCATTCCACCAACGCTAGAGGAACTAAGTAGTCAGATCAAGAGGAAGTCGTCTAAATCTGCACCGGGACCCGATGGTATCCCATATATAGTCTTTAAAAAATGTCCATCGGTTCGTAAACACCTCCTAAATATATACGGTAAAATCTGGTCAGGGAAGCAAATCCCGGAGTGCTTCGGGAAAGCAATTTTTGTCCTCATTCCCAAAAAAGATCGAGTTACTGATCCGAAAGATACTAGACCGATAGCTTTAACAAATACTATATCGAAAATCTTTTTCTCGGTTCTACAAACGAGAATGACGCGATTCATGCTCAGCAACAACTATTTTAAGCCAAATCACCAGAAAGGGTTTTTACCCGGGATTTCTGGATGCTTAGAACACAACACCTTGCTGTCGGAGAGTTTAAAAGATGCTAGAAAAAGCGAGCGGCAAATCACTGTTTGTTGGATAGACTTGGAGAACGCGTTCGGGTCGATACAACACGAATTGATGCTATTCGCGCTTAGATGGTACAACTTTCCACCCCTAGTTAGAGATATGATCGCGTCGTATTACTCAAAATTAAGGTTTTCTATAATAACTAAAGAAGGCCCTTCAAAAAGTTTGAGTTATAATGTAGGACTGTTTCAAGGTTGTTGTCTATCTCCAATTGCGTTTAATATCGTAATTAACATCTTAGTAGACAAACTAATCCATAACGAGAAAAAATGGGGTTATCGGTTTAAGTTTAATACTAAATACACGGAATCCATTTTAGCCTTCGCTGACGATCTCGCAATACTGACACGTAACCCCAAACACTGTCAGGTACTATTGAATGAAGTGGATAAATTCTGTGAGTGGACGGATGGATTGAGGACAAAACCCAGTAAATGTCATTGTCTGTGTCTTGGTAGGCGGAATACAAGATACACCTCATACGATCCGGGACTATCGTTAGGCGGTCAATGCATTTCGACGGTTACGGAAAATGCACCATTCAAATTTCTCGGTCGTAAGATAGATAATATAGGCCGTACTCCATCTTTAGAAGGAATAGTAGATAGCTTTTTGAACGATCTTAACAAGGTAGATAGCAAACTGATAAGTAACGTCAAAAAAGCGTGGATCTACGAGAATTACTTAACTTCACGTTTGAATTGGCCTTTCCTCGTCTATGATTTTAATAAAACCCTTTTGTCAAAGTTAGATGCAGGCGTCATAAAGATGTTGAAGTTGTGGCTCGGGCTCGCTCTAACGGCTGATTCATCGGCGTTATTTAGGGGAAGCAATAGTTTTGGGATGAGTCTAAAAAGGCCATCGGAGCTCTATAAACACCTAAGAGTTTCCAAGAGATATATCCTGGGGAAATCCCATGATGACATAGTGACATCGCTCCCAAAAGATGAAGATGCCCCCGAGCTAGAGTCACGACTTCAATTCCATAAGCAATTTATGATAGGAGCGCAAAGTAACAGAGCGGGGTTAGGATCAAATAGGAAAGTCCAAGATGCGGATATATTGAAGTCTTTTATTCGGCAAGACGAGAATGATAAATATAAGATCCATGCAATGAATTTAGAAATGCAGAACGAGTGGTTAGACATAGGAGATTTTTGCATCCCATTAGCATTAAAATGGCGCACTTTAATTTATGATTGGTCGCCAGCATTGCTAAAATTCTATCTCAATGCGTTCCAGATGACTCTCCCAGATCAGAGTAATTTAGTAAGATGGGGTAAAAGTACCGAAAAAACTTGCTATATCTGTGGAAAGGCAGTTGGAACTGCTAAGCATCTGCTGGTGGGATGTAAGGTACTCCTTGACAGCGGTCAATACTCGCGTCGTCACGATAGGGTTCTAGAAGTCATACGTGAAGCGGTTAGTCTTTCGGTAGCCAGAGCGCAAAAGGGAATAACCACAAACGAACGATCAGTAGGTTTTGTGAGAGAAGGCACTAGGGCTACAAAATCAAACGTCAAGCCTTACTCCATCCTTAAAGCGGCGTCGGATTGGACTATAATGATGGACACGTATGAAAAACAATATAAAATCCCCGAGGATATTTGTGCGTCGGCCTCCAGACCGGATATATTTTTGTTTTCGCGAATTTTAAAGCGCGTAGTGATGATAGAGCTTACGGTCCCTTGGGAAACCAACATCCCCAAAGACCATACCATCAAGGTCAACAAATATTACGAGCTCACAAACGAACTCACTCGAAATAGGTTCGTAGTAGATTTGTACGCGGTAGAGGTGGGAGCGAGAGGTATAACAGCGAAATCTCTCTATAACCTACTAAAGGACTTGGGCTTGTCCAGAACTCACATTAATGCTTTCTTGGAACGTACATCGAAGGCAGCCCTAGTAGGTTCTTTTCAAATTTGGTTAGGTAGGGAGAGGAGCTTGGACAGTGGAGGTGAGCGTATAACGCGCGTTAGTTAAGGGGCCCCTTAAACCTACACTTGGGTCGCAAGTCCCAGGCACTGTTGAAGCTCCTCCCCCTGCAACGCGATGGACCCGGCACCCGCACGGTGAATCCATGGAATGCTGAGAAGTTTCGTCTTATGTCGCCTCAAATATATACATCGGATTTATTACAGATTCGTTGGTTTTAAAGAGAGAGTCGCCAGCCTCGCTGATGTTACAAATGTCACTTCTTCTAGAACGTTCCATGATATTTTAAAATGAAACTTCAATTGTTCTCAATGCTTCTGTATTTTTATGATTCTTCACAATCACATACTTCATTGATACGCACTCACTGAACTCTGAATTCTGCTGTCGTGCGTCCAGACGTCATATTTATACCAAGATTTAAACATAGTTCTATTCTCCTTTTCAACAACCTTTGATTTCGTTTTACTTTTAACAATAATCATAAATACTAATGAGGTTTAATAAGAATTGATGACAGACTCAAATTATTTTGATGTCGCATCCGTTTTTAGAGCTGGTAGCGCCAATATACATGAGAATTTATTTTCTTAATCTCTAAAATTAATTCTTCGGTTTTGGCACTTTGTTCAATGCCAAGAAAGTTTATGAGAAATATCAAACTCAAATTTATGATTCTTACTTATAAAAGTTAGTTATTTATGATAATACCAAAATTATTTTCTTATATTAAATTTTTTGAGAAAATAAAAACACATTAAACAAACCAAAATAGCGGAAACAAAAAATAAAACTATGTAACCTGTTGTGCCTTTTCATAAAATATAAAATGCAGAATTTATACACAGAGAGGTACCGATGAAAAGCAGAATCATATTCAAAGAAATAAAATATCTCATATTTACTTTATTCACAAAGATGGCTTTACTAAAATCCTGATATTGATACCATATGAAATATAAATAAGGTTTCATGTCTTTGTGAATTGAATTTCTAGCCGAAACGGAATTTTCAAGTCACCTTTCAATAAAGAAAATATTTATATATATTTTAGATACATTTTTCAATGTTATAAAGTGATATCGTATCATTGATCTCAAAAATTGCATAAACGTAAAACTTTTAAATGTTAAACTTTGTTGCACTTAACATGACATAAACATAACACAACATAACATAACATAAACAATAACACAACATAAACTAATTAAGTAAAGTAATATTCAATTATAAAATACAATGTATATTGATATATATTTTATTTTTAATACATGTAAGTAGGTATGTCTATATTATTTTTATGGTGATAATGCAATTCATTTATTTTTATAACTAAACACTTACGAATGGTACAGTTGCTTAGATCGTACCGCAGAAATATCACATCTCATAAATATAAATTGTGGCGCTTCATATTGTTTTTATGAACTATTTATTAGAATAAGCAATCGTTAACAATGGAAGCGCATCTCTGGCTCGGTGAATGATTTTCATAAATTTCATAATTAACTTCTATGTACGTATATATAACACTTATTAAGCGTTCTCTTAGGTATACATGAAACTTCATTTGTAAATCCATTTTCCTTGCTATATATCAATTTTATTCAGTATTGTAAGTAGTAAATAAAGAAGACACGAATTCAATAACTAGGCTGGATAATATGACTTAAGTTGTTACGTTAAATACACTTTCAAAGTTCTCTGATATAATTTAATTATAGGCACTATCATCTCTAAGGAAATGATTGAAGTTTAAGGCCTACGTCTTTATTTTATTAAAGTAAATAAATAATATTAATCTTAATAGAACTTATGGTTTATTTGTTTTTACTTGTTGGAATAAATTGAAATAAAAAATATTGGATTTATTTAGTAACGTAGATGTCAGAACAAAGTAATCATTAATGAATATTCAAGAGTTTTAATAGTTAAATTATTATCTATGTAATGTTAAAACGCTGTTTATCCAGTCACTATTTTATCTTATTTATTGTTGCCTTCTACAGATCTTAACCTTCCTTTTAGTATTGCCTATATAGAAAAAAACAAGATAACTTCGATTATCTTGAAACAGCATCATAACCTATTCCTTAAATAACGTAAGTACGTATTTATTTTGTGTTGTAACTGCATAAGAAACAGTTGTTTATATGATTTGTAAATTTATAAATAACAATTTAATAAATCAATAAATATATTTACAACGTTAATGATACATATAGATATTATAATCCTTTATATTGCGTAGTAGTTTAAGTGCTTCACCAAACAAACAAATTTTTAATTTCCAACATGAGCATAATCATCAAAGTTATTCGCTTAAAATCAGTTAGTTTTCCTAGTCGTATAAATAAGCCAGCATTTAATGTTCAGTGATATATATATTTTTCTAACGTACCAAAATTATTTTATTAAATAACAAAAACTAAGTTAAAATAGTATTATTAGTCCAATATGCTCTTGACTTATCTTAAAATGACATATTAACAATACAGAAAGAATTGGAAATTGTCATCAAATTAATACATATTATGTTAAATCTGTGTTCAAAATTAAATTAATGTATAATTATTATTAATTAATAAATATACATATTTTACATCACGTTCTTCCCTTAAAACTTTAAGCCGTTAAAGTACACGATGGTTTAATTGAAGATAAAGTGTTATCATCAATTTTAATTCCAAGTGATAAAAGATGATAAGTTAATCTATGAAAGTGAGCTTAATAATAACTTTGTTTTACTAGCCAACACTTTTGAAGCTAACTAAGAAAATAGTGCCATGTCTGATTTCATTTAAATGTTATGAACAAAATATTTATACTTTTTTCCTATATGGAATCAATTTAATTGATAGCTCAAATTAGACTTCTATATTTTAATATTATACTTATGAAATATATTTTTTAAACTTATTATAATTAATTAAATAATTATTTCTTAATTATGTAATTTAGACAGAAATTTAAAATCCCACTGCTATTGAATTCTGAAAAAAATATGAGTATTATCGAAATCTTCATACTTTAAATGCAATTTAAAGGACCTATTTTTGTTGAACTTTTGTACATTTTGGAGTTATTTTAAAACAATTACATGGAGGTACATGAATATAAAATGAATTCGTTATATTTATTTGCAGCATAACACACTTCCTAAAATTTGCAAAATGAGTTAGATAAATTCTCAAGGGCGCCACCTTCTGGGATTGAGGGAATATTTAACAAAATTTAATTTGTATTATACTATTAGGTTGCTTAAGTAATATTGTTGCTTATGTATTTTTTAATATGTTAATTAGTTTATATAAAAACGCTTTTGGGAGTCCCTGTTTATTTTAATTCCCTTCACAATAACATACGCCAGTAGGTAGTCATGTTGTATTAGCCTTGTCCGGGTGATTCCGGAATCCTATTTTTATGCAAGTCTTCAATTTTCTAGTATACCCTAAATTGGTTTTTCCTGTTGGTGATGACTGCCTTTACCAGAGCCAGTCTTTTGGTTTTGAATTTTTTCTGGGACATCTCTATGAAATCGTCTATAGTAGTAACTGGAACCAAAAAATATTTGTATAAATATTACTTCCAACTTGTTATTTCAATAAAAAATTACCATTTCCTAATATTACATATTAAATGAAGTTGGTAGCATAAAAGTCAATAAGGTGAATTTTAAGGCTTACCTACTTCATCACAAAATCGGTTAAACGAAAGGGAGTACTAAAAATGTGCTGTTGAACTACCATCTATTTACAAATAATTTTTATATGTTGTTTATATTATATAGATATGCTTATAAAAATAATCAATGTTTACGATATAATTTAATTTTAATGTCCGGCAGTTGTCAAAAAAAAACTCGGATTCGTGGTACAAAGAATATTATAAAAACATATATGTAGTTAAAATTATTATTTACTATTTATCTAAATAAATGGACAATAAACATTAAAATGTAATACATATAAGTAATAGCTTAGTACGAGATTAAAAACTATGAAAGCCAAAATTAAGTTACAGTCTAGCTAGTGCTATCGTTTAAAGGAAGGAAATAAACACCGACTGTAGCGTTTAGTGCTCTTTCTACCTTTTTAAACCTCATTTATATTTTAGGTTTATTTTTTATATTTATACCTTCCCATAAATAATGGAAGCATTGTTTTGAGCTTATAATGCCTATAAGCACAATTTATGATGTCTGATATCAAGAGTCAAAAATTTAAAGAAAACATTTTTTTGTAAAGGTATAAGTTATACAACTGTCTTGGGAGTACAGCAACGATTAAGTCGTAAATCCCGTAGAAAGGTCTGATTTCTTCTCGACATTGATAAATGAGATGCTCAGATTCCTTTTAAAAGATTTGGCTAAAATATATTATTTCCATATTGTATTGGTACGGCAGTTATGATAACTTAAGACAACCTGAGATGTGAATATGCCTAAAGCTAAAAAAAAGAAATGATTGATTAATTTTAGACTTGTTTCCACCTGAGTTAATTAATTGATTTAAATTAATTTGTCATATTAAAAATGTACGTTGCGAGGAATACTAGGTTTTTTAACAAAAAGAAATAATGTTTCAACAACTACTAACAATTACGAACCATAACAAATTACTATTTTTTATAGTGAGTTGGAGGCTACAATCGAATACGATGAAATAAAAGGATTAATTTGATCAAAATAAACAAAAAGAAAAGACGAAATGTAAATAATACCACTTTCAATATTGGTTGGTAGTAGTGTACCTGATACCTTCAAAGTAACACGGGTCTAAATATGTACAATGTAGATATGTTTTCAGACTCTAAGTTGAAAAAATATAGTAAATTACTTATTTAATATTAAATATGGTTTTGCTTATTAATGTAGTTTTTTTATTTTTTAATACAAACAAACCTTTATTTAATACTTAAAATTCATATGAGATTTTATTGAGTAGACTAAAAATAATATATGTTATTAATTTAGTTAATGCTGCAGTCACTTAAAATGGGAACATTCAATGTAGGAAATGAATTTGATTCTATATTTTAATCTTGTT